GGCTATCACAAAACCCCACCATCTGCTCGGCTGCCGAGGGACGGAAAGCATGAGGCCGAGCCACAGCTGCGTTTGCTCAGGGGCTGACAGAGAGGCCTTCCTTCCTTTTGAGGCTGGTCGGTCAACTGCCAAGGTCCTGCATGGAGAAGGCCCCGGGTTCAAGCCGCACCCCCCCCAGCACGGTCCAGTGGGAAACCAGTTGCCAGCCAGTACAGGTGACCGAGAGGTGGGGAATCACTGCCCCCTCCAGATGTTCTGGACTACAACTCCCATGGTCTGTTAACATTGGCTGTGCTGTCTGGGGCTTCTGAGGGTGGAAGTAAAACTCATCCAAGCATGGGAACGTTTGGTGGAAGCAGGACTAGGCCTGAGGCACCAACGGGCTGACTCGGTGGAAAGCATGGCCTTCCCCGCAGGGTGGCCGCCGCACGCCTTGCTCAGAGGGAGCTGACAGGCCCCATCCGAAAGCACTGCTCCTTCAAAAGGCTACCGCTGGACTAAGCACGGGCGGTAGCCTTGTTGGGACACACCACAGCTTTGCCAGAGGGGCAACGAAGGCCCCCATCCAAGGGTCGGCACATGGGGGAACCCTAACCCTTTACCACCTTTTTTTAGGAACCGGGGCCGCTACACCTCTAGAATCACAGTCATCTTTACAACTCTGGAGACCGTAATTCAGGGGCCGGAATGTAAAGAGGGTGCGAAATCTAAGGACACCCCCCCCGGGTGTCCCAATCCAGCCCACTTAGGGCTCTCCAGAAGGCCAGACCCCAATATCTCAAGGGGGGAGAGCGGCCTAGACCTCAGAAGAGCAACTCCAGACCTTCCTTTCTCCCTTAGGAGATTTCATCCTGTCTACGACACACCCGCTCCATGACACAGATGGGGAAACTGAGGCGGAGAGCAGCAGGCGCCCCTCGGGCCCGCTCATGGCAGCCACGTGGCTGGGCACCGGGTGGGTGTCTTCGGCTCAACCGCTGGGCGACACGGCCGCGTCAGCTCTCACACCCCTCCATACGGGGCTCTTTCCCAGTTTTCCAGGGAGAAATCTGGCAACGGAGCATGGCCACGCGGAGCCTGGTGGGCAGCAGGTGGGAGGTGTAAAGCTGGCACGACGGGAGAGAAATGCCACGGGGTGGAAGAGGCAGAGCCGGAAGACGGAGTTCTAGCCGTTAATGAGTACAGAAGCGGGCAGAGGCACCGTCTGGAAGAGAATAAACCCATTCCCGGCTGTTCTCGGCACCAGATTTGAAATCAACAGACAGCCGTCAGGAGCAAGATGGAGGAGGAGGAGGCCCCGATGGGAGGCCTGGGGTGGCAGAGCAAAGAGACGCAGGCCTGGCGTGCAGAAGTGTTTCATAAGGAAGAGCAGACGCACGCACGCACGCACAGCACTGCGGAACCAGGAGGAGGCGCCCACTTCCCCGGCCACCAGGCTGAGCCTGAGCGGTGGGGCTGCTCCCAGGCAGGCCTTTTCAGGGAGCCCAAAGGCAAGGACTGCCAACCTTGCCTGGGTCCTGTTTTTTTTTTGGGGGGGGGAGAGATGGAGAGGGAAGGAAAGGGAAGGAACACAACAAGGCAAGAGGCAAAGGTTCTGGCCAGGAAACCCCGCCCCCCCCCCCCAAAGAAAGAGGATCGGTCACTACCACAAGGACAACGCTGGGCCCTTCCTTTCCGAAGGAGAGCTGGCCGCGGGCAGGAGGGGGGGCACACGGAAAACCAGGTCCTCGCCTGGCATCCCCAACGGGCGCTCCCTCCAGGGCCACTCTCTCCTGGCCCATCCCACTGGTGGCCACCCCCTCCCCTGCCCTGGATTTCTGCCTCCCTGCCCACCCCACGCTGTGGCCATGAGTCACCAGGGAGAACGCCAATTCCCAGGCCAAACAATGGGTGCTATATATAGGCTGTACGTGCCTCGGTGCCCTCCCCTGGCACCAGCCCTGGCACAAGCATGGCACACGCATGAGACACACGCACGCGGCCACACGGAAGGCTCCTTTGGGCTCCGTCCCTGGGGAGGGCCGGGAAAGAGCCCCCTCCTCAAACCCAGGCGGGTCGCTGCCGCCCCTCCGACCCACGAATCCTGGGTTTGATGGACCGAGAATCCTGCTCAGCAGAAAGCAAACTCCTGGGATCCTCTTTCTACCAAGGCTGCCTTGGCAACGATGAGGACTAGAACCTTCGGGGCAAAGACCAGGCTTTGCCAATCTTCACCGCGTCCAAGGACCCTAGGGATCCAATCCCCACCATGACTCTTTACAACAAGAATATGTTCCACCTTCACCCTGCTCCCGGTCCCTCCAGTGCCTGCTCCCTCCCCCCCCCATCCCAGCCCAGCCTAACCCTCCATGGGACTTCTGCATGCTCTTGCATTCGGACAAGGCTGCTCTGATCTGAAATCTGTTATTGGAGCTACCTCCGGAGCAGGAAAACATGCTTCTCTTCCCCCCCCCCACAACATACAAACATACACAAAGACCCCCCATTCCTGCCTGCTCCTTTTTGGTTCATGGTTAAAATATGGGGGGAAGAGATCCTCCTGCAGCCAGCTTTGCTATTGCAATGCCCCCCCTGCATTTTCCTTCCTAAAACAGAGACCCCTCTGGGGGGGATGTTCTGCTTTTGGGGGTGGGGGGGTCCACAGCAGAGGAGTAGAGCACATAGACCTACAGACTCTGGGCTTAACCCTCGGGACCTCTAGATTTTTATGGGGAAAACTCAGAGAAAAACAAACCTACCAGCCTTAAAAGCGTCACTAAGTACCAGAACTGAAGTAGAAAAAAAACCCTTTCCAAATTCATCAGGGCAATGGATGGGCTCCCAGGGTTTTTATCCGAACTTTAAAGGCAAAAGGGTTGGAAATCCTGGTGTGTCCCTGTAGAGTTCAGGGTCACGCACAGAGCGGACGCCCAACTCCAACGACACGGGAGGCCCCCCCGCCACCCCCTCAGCGTCCACAACGCATCATACTATCCTCCTTG